TTAAGTACCACAGTGCTCATCGATAAGCAGCCAGTGAACGCCCTAATACATACCGGCGCCTCGATATCTTTAGTTTGGACCGATACCCTCAACAGCGAATGGTCTCACCTCACTCGCCCGAGCACTCAATCCGCCAGACTCCGCACCGGCAATGGCGCGCCCACGATCATTGTAGGAACTGTCACTTTACCTGTCGGTTTCTCATACAGCGTTCGCGAACGGACCTTTGTTGTTACACCCACAATTAAGTAGGACATGATACTAGAACTCGACTTCCTGACACATCGAAGGTGTTGCCTTAGAGCGTTTGAGCTCACCATCGGCTTTGAACATAGGCCACAGATCGTGACCGTGGCGTCTCTTTCGATCGACATCGAGGACATTTACACCGTCAGTGCGGCGGCCGTTGTCATTCCGGCCGTCAAAATCGAATCCGTCATGCCCATAGATCATTCCAGCGATTGTCACGAGAAACAGGCACTTCGCATACTGCTCAAAGACGCCGCAAACGTTTTCGCTTGAGGCGACCATCCACTCAGCCGTACGGCAGTTGTCCGGCAAATCATCTATACCGGCAATTCCAAACCATTACGGCAACCACTGCATCGGATTCTGCCTAACTTTCCATAGGAATTCAACGATTTGATACAAACCATGCTCTAAGCTGGGATCCGAGGTCACGTTTGTACACGAGAATGACGGTCGACTTAGGTTTTGTAATGACTGTCAACGTCTAAACGTGGTCACCACCAAAGACTCGTTTTCAGTGCCTCACCTTGGTGTCACGTTAGAAGCTGTAGTTACAACTGAAAGAAGCGGTAGTTCAGCGTACGGCCAAATCGCCCGACAGTATGCTGCGTGAGCTCTTCACTTCAGCTGAGTTAGGTGACTCGACGCCATCAACATTAATGCGTCATATGCGCACCTTGCTGGCTGGCCAGTCGGTTAATCAGCGTATTTGAGGGAAAAATAAGCCTGCACCTTTGAACTCCCTATCTGTCACATCCAATCTCAATAATTAGAAACAATGGAAAACAGCTTAAAGTCACAAGGAGGTAGATAGTCACAAGGTTCATTGGTGCTTCATTGCTAATTTGTCACATAGTTCACGTCGAGCTGTAACATATGGATATAAAATCAGTATT